TCGGATCGAGGATTGAAGAATTCAACTGTGACATTTTCATTTAATTCGCTTCCCGTTCGCGACCTTACCCTTCACGACCTCTCAACCCTCGTAAAATAAAACGGTGAAAATCGCCCACCGAAGAGAGAATTATTCCAACTTACGGCACGACGTCGCATCGACGTCGCGCGCGGGGCTCAATAAAATCGCGCGAGGGGCCGTAAAAAGTTTATTCCCGAACGCCGCCGGACGTAAGTAATTGGCCGGCCGGCCAAACCGGATCTATCCGTCGCTCGCGACAATACTTCCACGTCTGCGTCGGTATGTGCAGTGCAACGTGTCGTTTTTTTCTTTTTCCTCTCGCGTGCCATTCAGATCCGGCGGCTTCCTTATCCCGTCGTCGTCGTCGTCGTCGTCGCTCGTCCTCGTCGTCGCAGTCTCGATACATGCACGCGCACACGTACGCGCGCGTACACATGTACGCACACCCGTCCATCCGGAGAGAATTTCACCCTCGGGATATTTTTCTCCCTCGTCACGTCCAGCGAGCTGCGCAACGCAGCGTCGCGTCTTTGTGCAGCTTTCCTTCCTCGCGCCGCGGCGCGTTTCTTCCTCTTCTTCTTCTTCTTCTTCTTCCTCTTCCTCTTCCTCTTCCTCTTCCCCGCCCTGCCCCGCCCCGCCTCGCCGCGCGATCTGTTTTCCTATTCTCTTCTCTTCTCGACTCTCCCCTTTGTTGCCTTCTGCTCCTTCGGGTTTGCCAGCGACAGAGCTTTTTTTGCTCTCCCTCACATCTCGTTTCCGTCTCGCGCAACATCGCGAACTGGGGATCCAGCGGGGGAGTGTCTCAAAGGTCTCACCGACGTCCTCCAAATATGCTATCTTGTCTCATTTTTCTGACTCGATTTCTCAGAGAAGCGTATTTATAGTGACGGATTAACTCTGGGAACTCGGCGAAGCAACAGAAATCACGAGTTTCATCAGGTCTCAAGCCTATATTGTCTTTAATCATTTTCCCGAGAAATTACTCTGTCGCTCATATTTATGATTTTTAAAATATATTATGTTCATCGGAAAATTAATTTTAACTTTGAAATAGATAAAAGAGGGAGAAAGGGTCTTTCAGATTTTGTAATAACGACCCTCCTTTTCACGATTCTTTTTGTACTTTTAATGAAATTTTGTCTTTTAGTAGTCGCCGGATTGCCTCGAACTTTTTGCAGTATATCTGAATTAAATATCCCGTGATAATTCCTTTTGCCGTTTAAACCTTCATTTCGAGGGGCACGCATCGTGGGGTTAATTTTGGGTTCAATTCCACCTACCTCCTCTCCGGCCGCGTTCCTCATTTCTTTTTCACTCTCACGATAACTGGCTCCGCTCCTCTCGTGGCTTGGAAAACTGGATATTTACGTCCTACTGCGTCCGCGCGAGCCCCGACCCCTCTTTCGAAAGGAAACGAAATAAAGAGTTTCCGCTCGGTTCCTTTGCAGCTCGTCCGGCTCTCCTTTCCGACGTTCCTGCACGCTCTATGAACTCGGCGCTTATTACATCAGCGATTTTCCCTCGAACCTGTCGCGTCGGCGGCGCGCGGTCTCCCTTTGTCGAGGGGAAGGATCCTTATTTGCGACACGCGGAAAAAAATCGACATTGACGCTAACTAGGAGATCCTTTCCGTGCGTTTGCACCTTGTTTATATCGAAACGAGAACCGACGGACAAAAGGAAATTCGCCCTAGATACTTTTTTTCGCCGTTCAACGAATCGGAATCGAACGTGTCAATCGTTTTGTCGTCCAGTCTTATTTAATTGTCTTATCGCGGAATAAAACTGTGTAAAATAACAAGTTTGATTACGATTATTTTTTTCCCAGCTTAATTATGAAGAAAATTTCTCGCAACTTTTCCATTTCTCCAGAATGTGGATTATACCGATGTGATTTAACGCAAATTCAAATTAAACTTCGTTCTTTGTACACATAGATGGAATTGTGTGAGCCAGTCTTGTTTACTGCGTACAAAGGAGACAAAAGTTAGATTGGTGAAATAAATTAAACTCTTGAATTAGAGAAGCAATATAGATCCCCCGACACGCTACGTTAATGAAAGTGACAAAAATTTTGAGATCGATTTACACAGCCTGTCTACTTTTACATATTAAAAACTGTTTTTTTTTTTTCATCATTTTACAAGTGTAATTCGCGAGGAGACAAATGCGTAAGCATCGAAACGCAGGGATTTAATCGAGTCTACTGCTCGAGTAACGCTTTATTTATCCCGCAATAATAAAGGGGGAGGGGATGGAAGTATATCCGCTTGCCTGGTCGAGTGCTTCATAATTACGCAATGCGCCGGATAGTCTCTTGAACTTTCTTCCCTTGTGAAGTTTACGAAGAGAGAATCTTGATTACTTCTCGCTTCCTCATTGCGCGAGGAATTGTGCTTTGACGCCCTGCCAGGCTCTTTAATCGAGTGCTTATCGCAAAATTAATATTGGAGTAGACGGCAGCTCTAGAAACCTACTGGCAGGAAAGCTTAATGAAAGGAAACGAGAAACCTACTTTAAGGCATTGTAAACAGAGGTGTGTAACAAGGCTTATAATAACTTTTAGATTATCCTTTCTTTATGGTAAAATAAAAATTCTGTACGAAATTCTAAAAATTCTATGACGCGACACTTGTAACATTGACATTGAAACTTGTATTTGCGCACGGAAAGAAGGAATTTGCTGGATACAGAACTGAAGATAATAAATTGGACCATCAAAATAATTTTGTTGGGAAGTCAAACTGATTGCTAGAATAGCAATGTTTATCATTTTTACCTTTCCAATAAAATTATTTTGATGATTCAACAAGAATTACTTTCAGATCTGTTTCCAGCAAAATTTTGAGACCTTCCAACAAAATCGCTCTTTCCGTGCACACGGAAAGAACAATTTTGCTGAATCCAAGTCTGAAAATAATTTTTGCTCAATAATTAAAATAATTTTGTGCGAAAGATCAAAATGATTGCTAGAATAACAAAACGTTTCATAGCAATGTTTATCAGTTTTAACATTCCAACAAATTATTTTGATAATTTAACAAAAAATTATTTTCAGATCTGTATTTAGCAAAATTTTTAGGCGTTTCAACAAAATCGTTCTTTCTGATTACTGATATTTAGCTGATAATGCTAAGTCATTTCTTTCCGTGTATAAATAACTCGTGCAGGAGATAATTAAAGCCTTCGGTGTTCCTACTTTTATTTGTTATTGGCTATTACATAATTTTATATCGTATTTTTTTAAATGCATTCGTGCTTCGGTTTTAAGCCACTGAAAAAAAGTAATCTTGCAATTATAGCGAGAATTATTTAGATACGAAAAATTAGCTAAAACGGATAAGTGAATAGTAAACATTGCGATATCACACATGTTTTGTACTTAATCAATATAGATAACAGAGACAGAAATTATATTTGAACTATTTATCAAATTTAGCAAGAAAGTTTCTCTATGACGTTTAATCAGTCCAGACTCCAATCATATATTTGGTTATGAGACCTTCATTTTCTTGTATATATTCTTATAGAATATAACTACTATAAATTCTACGTATGATAGACAATTTTTTAACAAATACAAAAAACAGCGATATAATATAAGTGTAATATTTAGAATTGTAGCTGGAACATTTCCCTGAGTGAAGTTAGCGTACACACAGTGACAGGGGTGATTATTACGCGACGACGCGGAGAAAGGGTGCTAATATCAGAATTAAGTATCTTCCTCTCTCGTTCACGCTTTATTTATAGCAAAATACAAAAAGGGACGAGATAAACATCCGATGCGTTCGGTACGCGCTCTATAATTATATACCGTGGGTGGAACGTCCCGCGATGAATCTCGCTCGTCGAGCTTCACCGGAGGACGAAACGATCGTCGCAATTTCTCGGCTTCATGTCGTTAGTGCAACGACGTCGTCGCGGGGAGCGTCAACGGCAGTCTGGCGGAAAAATACGACGGTACTGTAAAGCCGGAGAGATACACGCGTAACATCCACAATAATTTTCTCAAGTTTTTATCGCCGACCTCACGTGCGCTCTGAAGCGCAGGGGACGGAAGGGGAGAAAAACGGAGGGTTACTACATAGAGTACCTCTGCACTTTATTTAGTACACGCCAGTGCATCGAGAATGCACTTTGTGACTGCGCTTTATGACTGGAGCATGCGGCTTTTACGGTGATATGAAAAACGTTTTCTTTCTTTCGTAAATTCGCATTCCATCCGTCCAATAATCGTACTACTTATTGTTAGTTCATACATTCGCGTAGTTCCTGCAGCGTTCGCTGCAGTAACGGCTTCAAATTTACGAAAAGAATTATATATAGGTACACGGAAAGTACAATTTGCTGGAAGATAAAAAAAATCTGAAAATAGCTTTTGTTAGAGCATCATCAAAATATTTTGTTGGAAACTCAGAAATAATAAGCATTGCTGTAAAAAGTTTTGATATTCTAGCAATCAGTTTGACTTTCCAACAAAATTATTTTGATGGTGCTCTAATGAAAATTATTTTCCGATTTTTTTTCTTGATCTTTCAGCAAAAATCGTTCTTTCCATGTATTTACTTCTCTTCTTGAAATATTTCTTCTCATGAACTCTCTAAATCTGAATCAGTGGATAGTCACTGATTATTTATCAATGGTTATTCATTGAATGCATCACTCCCAAGTATGTAACTTCAATCAGTAAATCAGGTAATCAGTGAAATTCAATTTCATTGCCTCTCGGAAATCATTAATAAATAAGTGAATAATCGCTATAATCGTTGATAAATTACGGCTTGGCTGTTCTCGCTAATTGCACAACGGATTCGATTCTGTTTCACTTATTTATTAGCGATTCAAGGCATTACTGACTCAATCCGTGACTTTTCCTGCACTTATTCAGATTTAGAGAGAATGTATGTGGTATATAGATTATATGGATTTAATAATGTGTATTTTTAGTAATTTTTTTATATATTTGCTGTGTTACAGAGGAAGTATTCAGCTCGAATGAGGCGCTCTGGTTTTCTCCGAGCGGCACTAAATTGGTCTTCGGCTATTTCGATGACTCCAACACTCCTATTATGACCATACCATTTTACGGATATCCCGGAAGCTTAACTTTCCAATACACGTCGGCGATACCGATTCACTATCCTAAAGTAAGTACATATACGAACCTTATCCCACTGCTCCATTGTTTTCACAGCGTATACGATAAAGAAATATTTTCTCTAACATTGCCATATATTTTTAATTTGTCAACTTTTTAAATTTGTCTTTATTATATAACATTATCATTGTTTTAGATGCCTATATGAATTTTTCTGAAGCATCTTAAAATATTGAAAAGAACTTATTGCGAAAAATATTACTTCAGCCAGGTATGCTTATAAGCATCGATTGATTATGAAGATCAATATGATATTTTTATTCCAATCTCAGCTAATAATTGCAAGTCCGAACATTTAATCAGCGCACAGTTTAACGGCTGTATATGGAGTTCAAAAAAATTCATATAGAATTTATTAGATACCTAAGATCCAGTCGTAACCGCGAAAAGGCACTCTCAAAGTTAGTTGTGTTATTCACATAGGCAGTTCTTATTTAAATTATAATAATTATTATTATTTTTATCGCAATTAAATTATTATTATTCGTTAAATTCAAAGGTGATAACAGCTTGAAGACATAATTTAGACTTCAAGTACACTCGAAAATATTTAAATATTTAAGATGCAAAAACGCCAACACAGTAAGAAGTGGATCTTGGTACTTGTTAATATTATAATATGTGAATCTTACAATACAATTTTCAGTTCATGTAAACTGCGCGCCGCATAATCGTAGCTTAAAACGCAGCTCCAAATCGAAGTAGTATCAAAGTAGTATAAATATCACAATTAAATTCCCAAGCAATCTAATAATTCGATGCATCTTTAAATTCTGTGAAAATAACTTATTGCGAAAAGTATTATCTCAGCAGTTTACATGAACTGAAAATTGTAAGATTCACATATTATAATATTATTAGCACCAAGATCCGTTTTGTACCGTATTAGCGTTTTCGCATCTTGATTGTTTATAACACTCCGCAGTTTGATATTTAGTTATTTAAATATTTAGGTATTTCTTTGTTGCGCGAATGAATAGGTATTTTCTATGTGTTCTATGCATGGCACATTTGCGATAAATTTCTGGTCTTATACGTCTTTTAATATCCGCCATTTTAATTGATTGTCTCTCCGTACGAAAAGGCGTTTGGACATCCGGGGGAAAAATGAAATTTTTCGTGGGTGAAAACATAATGTCTCTTTAAAAGGCAGCGATTCCGAGCGTTAGAGCGTCTCTCAGAAACGTCTCTCTCACTTTATCTCCTCGCGGAACCTTCGTGTCGCGCCGCCGCGCGCCGCGCCGTCCCGAGATATGAAAAGCCATCTAACCGAAGTTTACATCGTGAAAAGGTGAGAGGAGTGCGAGCGTGGCACCGCTGCATTTTTCAATGTCTTTTTATGACTCGCGATTGACGCCCGTCGCAAAAAAAAAGTCGCGACGCGACGTAGAAAAATATCCGACGTTGGTTCAACTTTTGAATGACGTCTTTGTCTTCGTACGACAACCCGTAAGATGGAAGATTGCTCGGATACAGGAAGAAGTAGTGTATAGGCAGACAAGCAAGATTCAGGAATGGCATTTAAAAACCGAGCAACAGGATTTCCATTCGCATGTTCAAATTTTTCGCCACTTATCAACAAAGAGCTATTCCCTTTTTTTTGTTACATTTAATATTTTTTCGCCAAAGACATCGCAAGTCGTTAATATAAAAAGAATATTAAGCATGTCGTTTATTCAGTGTGCCACGAAATAATTATTATAGATTTATTAACCGTTTATTTAAAATATTTTTTTTCTGATATCGCAAAATTGATAGAAGCTTTCAGGCGTTGTCTTCATGACGATTTCACAACGATGAGAAATTGAATATCGATAATCGCGTTATCCTTCGAAAGGCGATTGCGATCGGTAATCATATTATTTCTTCGATACACACTGAGCGCACACATACAATCGATCGAGCGGCGAAACGGAGACCATACGGTTATGACAAATGCGCGCACGTCCATCCCCCTCGTTCTCCGCCCTTCCACGGTATTTTTTGTCGTTTCGCGTACGCTCGAATAAAGTTCACGGCGAATCCCTCTCTCGGAGAGAGCGCGATTGAATTCAAAGTTTGACGTGCAGTTTTATTTCCGAGCGCTCCGCTACCACCTTTGCAAAGATGCGATTCTATATATATATATATGTGTGTATATATATATATAAGTACATAAACTTCCACAGCCTCGGATTAAAGTCACGGGGGTCTCGTCAGTCGAGTGATTCATTTTGCTTGATGCGCAAACCGCCATTCTGTCATTTTATACCCCGGGTACATTTATCTGGATTTCTTTCGCGACTTCATATTGCGTCTCAAAGCACGCGCTTTAAGCGAGCATTTTAACGGAAACGCGGTAAATTTTATTTACCTAAGTTACTGTCGATTCCGCTTTATTCCGCGATGGCCGTGCGGTAAATGGAATTGTCATTAATATTTATTTCAGCCGAAAGAGGAAATATATATCGCGCAAAGGACAGGGTTTGTTCTATAAATATTTACATTTGCGCGAAATTTCAAATTTTCCCTGAAATTATAATAAAATGCAAATATGCGCGAGCGAGCGATTCGAATTATTTTATAATTCGAAAATAGGTTGTTATGAAGCGGAGTAGCCCGTGGTATAAATTCGCCGTTTGATGAAAAGTGCCATTATTATTAGCAAAAGCGCATTAAATGCGAAGAATAAATAGCGAAATTTGTATCGATTTCAAAACTCCTGCATGTTAACGAAATTATGTTATGAATTTCTTTTTAATTGGTGCACAACAGACAGTAAAATCGTAAATTCACTTTACAATTAGTTTACAGAGTTACAATTCACAAAAGTGTTGATATCATGTATTGATATCAACTAATGAAACATATTTCGCGTGTACAATTAATATAATCAGTGAGCTACAGAATGCGAATACGCACAAAATATATATATAATTTTCGCAACGTGTAACAACTCAATTCGAATTTTTACAGCACTTTATTTCTGGAAATCTAATTACATATTTAAGTTCGCTTCGTTACTGAGGAACGCTTATCAAATAATGAAGTTTCCACGTCTTTCATGTCATTAACGTCGCTTACACTACTGTCTCGCGGAAAGTTAGGTTCTCGCGAGGAAAACGAGAAATTTCTAGAATTTACTAAAACGTAATCAAGAGTCATCCTTAAGCTTCGCGAGCAAACAGCCGAAGCGACCGACTCGAGCACTGCGTTACTTTTTGATGAGCCAGGCGAGCTCTATATATGCGTATGCCCGGTAAATTAATATTAGTGGAATATCGCGAAGTCGTACAAACGAATAAACACTGCGAGCAGCAAATTACGGCGCTTCGCATCTCGGGATTAAACAAGATTGTCATTAAAACTTTCGGTATTAAGACGACAGGATTTTCAGATGCACTTAAAGTAATCAGTGAGAGAACAGCCATGGCGGACAAGAGAATCGAAGATTTATGTTTCCAATTTCATTAAAACACTTTCGCGCAAACAAACCTTGCAAACAACAACTTCACGCATTTCGCAAGGAAATTGCGTTCTTTTGTAATAATATATACCCGATTATCCTTACGTTTCCTGCAAGACTATAGTTTACTCTGCGATTCTTTATGCGCGAAAATAAACTTTCGTAAAAACTGATCTTACGATTAAAAACTTGTTATAACTTTCACTCTGATTCGATCAAGGAATCTACTGGTAAAAATTAAGATCGCAAATTATATTACTTTATGGATAGAAGAGAAGAATATATTTCGTATAAGTTAATAATAATAATATTTATTGTGTAGCCGTCTAATCATATAGAGTTATGTAGAAATAGCTTGTAAAAAAAAGAGGAGGTGTCAACAATGCTACAATGCCTACCCGAAAACGCAGGACGCAAAAACAACGAATATAATTCGGTGATAATGATACAATAAGGCTCGTTTAAGGTGGTTTTTCAATAAAGTGCCGGAAATTTGAGGTGCCTCACCAGGGCCGACCCAAAATCACACATATTTGTATAATTTGGATAAAATATTAAAACTACATATATATTTAATGACAATAAACTAATGAAAAAATAAAATAATGAAACAAACAATATTGCTATCTCGTGCGACAATGAACGAGGATAGGAAAGTGAGGTATAATGTAGATTGCTAGCGATATTTTGCCATTTCAACATTAAATACCTTTCCAGAATGGCCGATGACTTATTATTCTTTTGTGACCATTAAAATCATAATTTTTTGAACTATTATAATTTCAAGTAAGATGATTTAAACTAACAATAGAAGTAAGATGATTTACGTCAATGAACGAGCAGAAGATTTTTTGGTTGTTGGTATAAACCAATACATTTCAAGTTTAACAAATTCCTAACGAGACGTTTCGAAGAAGACCAAGTCAGGTCGAAATCTCGTTACGAATTTGTTAAACTTGAAATATATTGATTTATACCAGCAGCCAAAAAATCTTCTGCTCGTTCATTGGCCTAAATCATTCAACTTGTTTTGATAAATACGAGCGATGATCTTTCTTAATTTATTATGATTTTGTTTTTTAGAAAAGTTTTCAATAACGTTTATGTGCAGTTAGTCAAAGAAGCGTCTCCGAGCCCAACCTGTCACTAACAATAATAAGTTATACGTGAAAGTTACATTTTCAATTTTTTTTTTTCTTATTTCATCGATAACCTTCCTCAGAATTTTGCACACATCAAGTTCTCGGCACTTCAACTTCATTGTATAACTTATAAATAACTCGATTTACTAAAGAATCACCTTAAGTATAAATATTTTCGCGCGGTGAGTCTGTCCCGGATCGATTGGACTGCTATGTGTTGTCTTTCCTTTATTGGTACACGCTCGCTTTTCTCCGTCCATTATCCCGCAACTTTGTCATCGTTATTATTCGCTGTCGATCCGTCTTCATGTGAAATCCGTCTTTCCCATTCCAGAGCGGCACGACGAATCCAACAGTCAAACTATTTTGCGTCGATCTCGACATGGTGGTGCAAGGTAACGTGACTTTGGTGGAGATCGAACATCCGCCGGAGCTGTCTGCCTCCGAAAGGATCCTGTCGGCGGTGGACTTCCCCACGGACAGCCTCGTGTACGCGACTTGGATGAACCGGGTGCAGAATAGGGCGTATTTCCAGCTCTGCGACGTCGACAGTCTGCTGCCAAATTGCACGACAGTGGGTATTTCTTCATTTTCGCGCGCGCGAGAGGGAGAGACAAGCTTCCGGTTCTGAACAGATCGAGTCGGCGGAGTCCGAGCGGGGGACTCGTTTGATAGTATCCTCTACGGAGATTTCGCTTTCTCTCTCTCTCCCTCTCTCTCTCTCTCTCTCTCTCTCTTTTAGAGTATCTTTCGTTCTCTTTTGCCGGATCTTAATTTAGGCAAGCGCTCTTCCTTTAGTTGGGCAATAGTATTTTAATTAGTGCGCGCTTTCCCGCCCGCGGCCCCGCTAATTCGCAATTTCGCACGAGTCTTTCACGACTGTTTCTCCGGGGAAAACTTGGACGTTACAAATTTCAAGTATCGGTAAAGATTTCGCATTACAAAATTCCGCGATAAATTTAATCTCGCGTTAGAAGCGTGAAATTAACTTTGCATCGCGAGAAATAATTCTCTTGTGAGGCGTTCTTTTTTTTTTCTTCACGTCGAACGTGCGAATTAGCTGCCGCGTGTGAAAATGTCTGTAAAGGAAGAAAAAGCGGCTCTGCAGCAAGAAGCTGCAGTTACGAAGTACTAATGTATTTTTTACGTTGCTGAAGGAGAAAAGCAAACGGGTTTCTTTTTACTGGATCACTTTATTAATACGCTCGTTATACTTTGGCTCGTAAACTTTCGCGAAAAAGTACAGTGTCGATTGCATTTTTCGAGGATGTGCGTACGTGACTACAAACACACGGAAAGAACGATTTTGTTGAAATGTCTAAAAATTTTGCTAAATACAGATCTAAAAATAATTGTTAAATCACACTGAAAAAAGTAATCTTGCAATTATAGCGAAAATTATGTAGGTATGAAAAATTAGCTAAAACGGACAAGTGATTAGTATAAGCACTGCGATACCACATATGTTTTGTATTTAATCAATATAGATAACAGAGACAGAAATTTTATCTGAACTATTTGTCAAATTTAGCAAGAAAGTTTCTCTATGACGTTTAATTAGTCCAGACTCCAGTCATATTTGGTTATGAGACCTATATTTTCTTGCATATATTCTCAAAATATTGCTGCTATAAATTCTACGTATGACAGACAATTTTTTAGCAGATACAAAAAGCAGTGATATAATTTAAGTGTAATATTTATAGAATTCTAGCTGGAACAGCGAAACATTTCCCTGAGTCAATAATTTTACTGGATCCGAAAATAATTTTCAGATCCGAAAACAATTTTTGTTCAACAATTAAAATTATTTTGTGCGAAAGTCAAAATGATTGCTAGAAAATCGAAACGTTTTATAGCAATGCTTATCAGTTTTAATATTCCAACAAATTATTTTGATGCACTCAGGGAAATGTTTCGCTGTTCCAGCTAGAATTCTAAATATTACACTTAAATTATATTGCTGTTTTCCGTATCTGCTAAAAAATTGTCTGTCATACGTAGAATTTATACGTCTCTTATTTAAAATTGTCTGTCATACGTAGCAGCAATATTCTAAGAATATATGCAAGAAAATATAGGTCTCATAACCAAATATGATTGAAGTTTGAATTGGAGTCTGGACTGATTAAACGTCATAGAGGAATTTTCTTGCTAAATTTGACAAATAGTTCAGATATAATTTCTGTCTCTGTTATCTATATTGATTAAATACAAAACATACATGGTATCGCAGTGTTTACTAATCATTTATTCGTTTTAGCTAATTTTTCGTACCTAAATAATTATCCTTATAATTGCAAGATTACTTTTTTCAGTGGTCTTTCCGTGTATAATACCATCACATCCATGCGATGGCAAAAAAGTCTTAACAGCGAATATTTTTTTTTATGAGCGACGATATTACTTAATTAAGTTGACAGAACGCAATTCGCTGACCGAGGAACATTTGATTGCTCCTAGGCGCTCTCGTATAGCGAGAGAAACGGCTGGGTGGAGCAATTCGAAGCGCCTATATTCAGCGAGGACGGTACGTCGTTTCTTCTGATATTACCGCAGATACAAAAGAACGGCAGCAATTGGCGACACGTTGTGCTGGTTACGAATGCAACCAGCGGCCGACCGACCACCATCGCCCTCACCTCCGGCTATTTCGTCGTAACGGAACTAGCATCCTGGGATCGCGAGGATTCCTATCTGTGAGTACAAACGCAATCTATTCCAAAAGCCGTGTGCCGTTAATTAAGCAACTTTCCTAAATTTCTCGATATTTTCGAGAACTTGGATTTTCGTGACATGCACTGTTAAATCTACATAGTTAAACTAAACCTTATTTAAGCCACTGCTCCTATTTAATAAATAGTTATTTTTTACTAAAACAATGGAGTTAAATAATTTAAAACAGTTCAAATTTAACCCAAAAGGTTAAATTTCATTATTTTATTAAAAAATAACTATTTATTAAGTAGGAGCAGCGACTTAAATAAGGTTCAATTTGACACTATAGATTTAACAGTGTGCGATCAGACCGCTGTTTCGCTAACTTTGTCATTTTTTGAAGTCTGTGTCAATATAAGTTTCTATTGTTATCGAAACTTGATTTATTTTTCGCAACAATTACACGGACTACTATTTCATATACATTGTATTACTTTGACGAGTTTATATCGATTTTAGTTTTACTTGTATTGCATTTAACAATATTGATTTTGCATATTGGTTTACATTTGCGCGATGTGCAAATGTGAACTTTTAGCCGAGATTAAAAATAAAATTCCCTGCTCTGGGTGCGAGGGAATAACGCAGAAAATGAGAATCTTGGATTGGATAAAGATGCATTAGCACAGAGATCGTTAATGAAATGGATATCTGAATAAGCGACATAATTAATCGAGGTTTCGACAGGAAAGTTCTTTCGAGAAGCTAGATCAGCCCAATTACTTAGAACTTCTATGTCGATAACCTACTATTAGCGATTGAACCAAATAGATTACATTTTCACTTCTTCGAAAACTTTCCGGCGATCTCAGCCCTCTTTTTTTGCTGCGAATTAGGACCGCGCAAGCTCGATCGTTTTTGCTGCCGTCGCATAATTTAATGAAACGAAGATAATTGAATCTGTCAGTGTTAACATAAAATTTATATATTATCTGAAATTTTAATTACGGAACAATTATATATTTACATTAAAATATGAAAACTTGTCGGAAAATGTGTCGGAAAATTTATTAAAAATGTGTAGCGTTAATTAAAATTATATTAAATTTAAGAATTAAACTGTAATACTTATTTATCGTAAAAAATTTAATTGATCAAAAATTAATAATATTACAGAAATCATAATAGATCTGTGATATAAATTAAAATTAAATTAAATTCCTATAAAATAATAATACAAAATAAAATATGGCTATAGTGAGAGTCAGAGCGGTTGTGATGGCAAAATTGTTAATTTAACATAATAAAACATTTTTGGGCACCAACAACCGCTTTGACTCTCACTAGCTTTATTTTATTTTGTATTTTTTGAAATAGAGAGTCCTTTATTTCAGTATTATTAAAATTTTTAATTTTATTATTATAATATTATTAAAATTAAAAAGATACAACATAACGATACTTATTGATTATTTTTACAAATTCAAGACCTGTGAAGGTTGCGGTATTTTCTGGTAATACGATATGCAAATAATATATATGTATATTATAAGATATATATATATATATATTTTCGTATTACCAAAAAATATATATATTATTTGCATGTCGAACTGCGTTATTTTGCAATTTTAAATGCAAATCTTTGTAAAACAAATCTCTATATATGTAGATATTTATTTATTCAGATTATTTTAAAAAGATGCGCATTAATTCCGAATGCATCATAATTCCATATTTTTGCCGGTCTCTCTGAAAAGAGAGGTGAATTTTCGATTTTATTATATGCCCCTGCTTCTCGAACAAGCGAAGCTTGTTGCCGAGGTGAACTGTCGTCGCGTATGCGCATATGCACTCCGTCCGTGGCACGAATTCTCAAATACGAGATACTCGCGCTCTCTTTCCGTGCGCTCTCATCCCGGGCCGATGACGTTCGGAAAGATAGCGAGCGTGCGAAATGGCTCGGAAGTAATTTGCGAAGTGAAAGCAGAACTACGCGACGGCGATGGGCGGCGGCGGCGGCGGCGGCGGCGGCGGCGGCGGTGCGAAGCTGGGAAGTTGCGTGATGTCGTCGTGGCTTTAGAACAAGAGAGAGAAGCAGAGAGCGAGAGAGTGTGGGCGAGCCCTCTCTCGACGCGGGTTGACCTGGCCTCGCAAGAAGCGGCTGACTTAATTGCGCGTTCATAAATTAAACGAGATCTTCGTCGAGGGAACGGAGCGAGCGAGCGAGCAAGCGAGCCGCGTTGTCGTCACGCGAATTCGCTTTTTCCGCGTCTCGAAATCCACGCCGGTCGATTAACGCTCGATGGAAGTGGCCGACGGGAATCGAATTACCGTTCGGATCTCGCCGATCAGAAAGTTCGGGGACGTCGTCGCTGCCGCCGAACGGACGACTTCCCGTGACGCGCGTTTCCTCAGGGCGCCTGGGAAAGACCATCCACAGGAAGACGATCCACTTTTCATCTCGCGAAAAAATTGCTTCGATCGGGCGTTAATGACGTCGTCTAGAGTTTCGTTGCGTCTCGTTGAGCCAAGAGGTGACTGAAATTCGTAGTAATTTGCGATTGAAGGGAGCAGGAAACGAGCTCCTGTCGCTATAAAGTATAAACGACGTGAAAATTTTTAATCCGGTAATATTTCTAGTTGAAGCAGTTCAAGCTTTCCCTTTTTTTAGCTGTTTTAACGAAAAATTATTTAAATTATATTATATTTATTATAAATAATCTATATAAAACTATTTACTTACAATTATAATTTAAATTTGATCTTTGATTAATCTAATTTTTTCATTTTTTAAATATTTAATATTTAAACATTTACAAATTTCTTAAAATATTTAATATAATATGTACAATAATATAAAAATATTTATATACACAGAAAGAACGATTTTGTCGAAAGATTTAAAAATTTTGCTAAAAAAAAATAGATCTGAAAATAATTTTTTGTTGAATCATCAAAATAATTTATTGGAATGTTAAAACTGATAAGCATTGCTATAAAACGTTTTGATATTCTAGCAATCATTTTGACTTTTGCACCAAATTATTTTGATTATTGAACAAAAATTATTTTCTTATCTGGATTCAGCAAAATTATTCTTTCCGTGTACTAAATAATTATATTTGTAAAGTTTACGAATAAAATTAATTACAAAGAATCGCGACAGTATACGAACGTTAATCAAACGAAGATTCAAATCTCTCACTGGTGTCTCCCGGAAATTTCTTCCGCATCCCGAATTCCCGAAATTTTGTTGAAACGTTGAAACACCGAACACAGAGTGGCCCCGATTAAATGATAAGAGATATACGCTCTCGCTTCCAGTTTCCGCCATTAAGCGCCCACCCGCTCAATGAATTTAGCAAAGTCATTCCGTTGCACGTCGTTCGTACTCCCGCACACGCAAGAAGTCGGGGGGGGGGGGTGGTCTCAACGAACGCGGACTGCATCCGGGGTAACGCGCGCATGAATTAATCATTAGGACGGTGTAAACAGAGAACGGCGTTCAGGAGTTATTCAGTGGCGTGGCGTTTGCGGCCTGCGGACGACATAACGGCGTAATCAATGCGCGGAATCCGCAATACGGGATCGCACGCCCTCACACATGCGCCGGAATGTATCTGTATATACATATACATATATACACTGCGTAGCGACGTGATCATCGGATTAGTTTCTCTCGAGGCGCGAGCGATCGATGTGCCATCGGTCCCGCAGACATTCGCGAGTCAATTAAGTGACACGCGCGAGTTTCGACGGAAGCGAAATAATTCCTAAGTCCGCAATTTACGTCCCGGCCGGGGAAGACGCGCGGGGGATGCTGTAGCTAAATCGCGACTGTATAGAGTCTGCGCGATTGCCTGGGACTCTCCTCCTCAATAAAGCTGAATCTCGGCCAAATGCAAATTTTTGTTAACTAGCAAACTGCAGTTAATTCGGTTTCAGCCAAAAACCTCGTTTGCGCAGTTAGTTTCTACACAACTATGCCTCGATCGACCGCAACTCGCCGTTTCCGGCGCCCGAGGAGGAAGAGCGTGTTGTACGCGGGTGAGAACTTTCTCGGCGGTTAGGTTACCGGCGAGAGGCTGCAGAGTGATCCGGCTGCGGTGGCATGCGTAATCGCTGCAGGAGAGACTCGAATGAATCGTGAGATATTAAGCGCGTTAAACGCGCCGGGATCACCGCCGCGCGTCCGCCGCGTCCCCGAGCGAACTATATAGGGGATGCGGCGCCCGAATTATAGCTCTCGCGGCCGCGTCTGCCGTCCCGCGAACAGCAAGCTCGGGTGTGGACAGGCCGCAACCGCAAGGCCGGGGAAACGTTCGTGAGCTGCCTCCGAAAACTCTGCCGCGCGCCAGTCGAAGGGGGGGGAGGTGGGGGAGAACCAAATGGAAACGTCACTGCACCCCGGAGATAAACACCGAGGGACGGTTACACCCCCGTTCTATTAACCGGCCTTTATTATTCTAGTCGTCACGTCCCGCCGCTCGTTAACCCTGAACCCTGGCGATGTGTCTCGCAGGATACGTCTCTATTTCCCGCCATCGAATCTCGCGAGTTTCCCCCTTTTTTTCTTCCAATTTTCAATTTCTGCTCTCTAAATCTGAATCAGTGGAAAAGTCTGATTGTGTCGGCAACGCATCTCTTGCATCGCTAATGAATAAGTGAAACAAAGTCGAATCCGCTGTGCAATTAGCGAGAACGCAGCGAAGTCCTGCACTCGATTTGTCAAGCGTCACTGATTATAGCGATTATTCACTTATTTATTAGTGATTTCTGTAAGACAATAAAGTTGAATTTCTGACTGATTAGTTGATTACTACACGGAAAGAACGATTTTGTTGAAAGGTCCAAAAATTTTGCTAAAAACAGACCTGAAAATAATTTTTTGTTGAATCATCAAAATAATTTGTTGGAATGTTGAAGCTTATAAGCATTGCCATAAAACGTTTTCATATTCTAGCAATCACTTTGACTTTCGCATAAAACTATTTTGATTGTTGAACAAAAATTATTTTCAGATCTGGATTCAAAATTG